TGTGCTAAGTTTTAGGGATACAAAGAAAGGTTAAAGGTAGTCCCTACACTCCAAGATTTCACAATCTAAAGGAGGAGACAAAATACAAATAACTATGTACAAATAAGTTATATACAGGATAAATTAGAAATAATCAACAGATGCAAGACACTGGAATGAAGAGGTATTAGGAAAGGCGTCCTTTCAAAGGTAGGCTTTGAGCTGGAAGCCAAGAGGCAACGATGAGAAGAGAGAGCCTTTTAGGCATGGGGAACAGCCACTGAAAATGCCCATCAGCAGATAGACTCTCTTGAGTAAGGAAGAGCAAAGAGGCCAGTAAGGTTTAAGAAGATTGGAAAGGGGAATACCAGAGGATATATGTTTGATCCTGGAGGTTCTAGGGAGCCACTGGAGTTTATTGAGTAGGATGGTGCTATGGTCAGACTAGTACTTCAGGAAGATCACTTTGACAGTTGAGTGGAGGATGGCCTGGAGCAGGGAGAGACATGTGGCGGTAAGACTGACTAGCAGGCTATTGCAGTAGTCCAGGCATGAGGTAATGAGAGCCTTCAGTAGGGTGGTGGCAGTGTCAGGAGAGTGGGGAAGGACATGGCAAACCACTCCAGTATCTTTGCCAAGAAAACCCTGAATGGGGTCACAAGAGTCAGACCCAACTGAAACGACTCAACAACACTGTCAGGACAGAAGGGGGCGTACATGCAAAGAGATGTTACAAAGGTAAATAGGTCTTGGCAACAGATTTGATATTGTTATCTTGAATATTTACACAGAAGTGGACTCCTTTATATTTTTTTTTAGGCAGTTGGGGTTAAGTGACTTGCCCAGGGTCACACAGCTACTAAGTGTCAAGTGTTTGGTCTGAGGCCTGTTTTGAACTCAGGTCCTCCTGACTTCAGGGCCAGTGCTCTATCCACTGCACCACCTAGCTGCCCTGACTCCTTTACATTTTTGAAGACTTAGACAGTGGCTATATTCTGGGGTTCCCAAAAGTTCTTGGTATGAGAAAAATAAACCAAAGAGAGATTATGTGGTGGAGAAGATTGAATATCATCTGTTTAAGTCTATATGCACTATAGATTTAAAACAAAAAATAAGATTACAATTAAATATTAATTAATATTATTAATACAATTTAATATATACAGATAGGTGAATATTACAGTGGATAGAGTTCCAAACCTGGAGTCAGGATGAGCTCAGTTCAAATCTTGCCTCAGATACTTACTCGCTCTGTGACCCCAGACAAGTCATGTAACCTCTGTTTACCTCAATTTCCTCATCTGTAAAATGTATATAATAATAGCACCTATCTCCCAGGATAGTTGTGAGGATCAAATGAGATAATCACTACCAATAGCTTAGCACAGTGCCTGGCACATAGCAGGTGCTACATAAATGTTAGCTACTGTTATTATTAAATATGAGAAAGAACAATATGAAAGACAAATATATTTATGTAAAATGTGATGACTAGAAAAACAGCATAAAAACTGATAGTTGTATGTGTATAAACACAAAGAAATAATGAAAGGAATGAAACAAGTTCATACACATGAGTTTGGAAAGTAACACAAAGCAAAGTATTTTTTGCTTATTTTCAATTTTGTTAAAATTAATGTTTCTTTCTCCCTTTTTTCCTGATCTAGATGTGACATTTCATTAGTGACTTGTGCAAGATTACACAACCAATATGTGTAAGAGTCTACCTAATAAAAATGTCAATGTTGAGGTTTTAGTTGAAGATTTCACAAAAGAATCAAAAAATCTCAATAATCTTAGAATTGGAAGAGTCCTCAGAAGTCACATCTAGTCCAACCTTTAGATAAACAAGAATTCTCTCTACATCATTCTCAACAAGTGTTGAAGCCCTTTAGGGGACATTTTAGCTTATATTTGATTTTATTACCTACTTATAATATTTGTAAAAAGCACTTAGCACAGTGCTTTGGTACATAGAAGTATGTATATAGTCGGTGCTAAATAAATGCTTATTCCCTTCCCATCCTTTCCTCTTTTAACAAGATCATATTTAAAGTGGAAGAAACCTCAGGGGCCATCTAGTCTGACTCCCTCATTGTCAGAAGAGGAACATGAGGCCCAGAGAGGAGCCCAAAGTTACAAAGGTATAAATTGCAGAGCTGAGAGTCCAGCTCAGGTCCTCTGACTTCAAACCCAGTACTTTCCCCGTGAGCCGTACAACCTCTATTGGTATTCGTTGTGAATGTCAAGCCTATCATAATGATAATCATAATAAATGACATCCAATCATATTTAGTCGTGTCTGATACTACATGACCCCACTTCAGGGTATTCTTGGCAGAGGCAGATGAGGAAACTGAAGCAAACAGAGTTAAGTGACTTGCCCAGGGTCACACAGCTAGTAAGTCTCTGAGGTCAAATTTGAACTCAGGAAGATGTGTCTTCCTGACTCCAGGCCCAGCACTCTATCCACTGCACCACCTAGCTGCCCCTATGTTGAAGGTCATAAGACAAATATATCTACTTTTTGACATAATTTGCTTTACAACTATTTTCACCAAAAGAAATTTTTCCACCAGTAAATATAAGATAGATATATCTGTTTTAAATCTAGGCATGTTGAAGATGGCCTTTTTAAAAAAAAATGTACTGGCTTATGTGAAATCTGTTCCTGGCTCAGTACCTAGTTTAAAAATCTTATGGATAGCTCACTAGATATTGGTGAGAGAAGTTAGATAAAGCTGTGGGTAATAATTTTAGCCAAAATTAAACATCCAGCCCTCAAGTAGTTCTCTATCTATATACTGTCAAAATACTGATCAAGTGTGGGAAGCTCTAATAAAGACTAATAAAATGCTAATAATAATAATAATAATAATAATATAAACACTATGTTCCAGGCACTAGGGTAAGCACTTTACAATTATTATATCATTTGTTCCTCTAACAACCCTGAGAGGTAGGTGCTATTATTATTCCCACTTTACAGATGTGGAAATTGAGGTAAACAGAAATTAACTGCCTTGCCCAGGGTCACAGAACTAATAAGTATCTGAAGTCAGATCTGAACTCAGGTCTCCTTGGCTCTAGGCCCAGCCCTCTATCTACTGTGCCACCTAGCTGCCCCTAGATTCACTAAGATCTTCATGACCCAAGGTCAAAGGCAGAAAAAAGGTGTATATTGATATAAATATCTAAACTATTTATGGCAGCCCCTTTTCTTATAGCTAAGAACTGGAAGCAAAGTAGATGCCCACTGACAGAGGAATGGCTAAATAAATTGTGATACATTATTGCTTGGTGCCTTGCCTACATGAATGTAATGTACTGTTACTACACATTCAGAAACAGTAAATATGATTAAAGAGAAGCAAATTAAAACAGATCAAAATAATCAAATTGAGTGTGGCATAATTACAAAGGGCAATCTTGACTTAGAGGAATTGAGAAAATATACTTCTCTCCCTTCTTTGCAAAGGCAGAGAACTGTGTTTATGGAATAATGCAAATATTATCAGGTACAGGTGCAGTACTACTTGTTTTGCCAAATCACTCACCCCCTCACCCTTTCTTTATTCTTTGTTACCAGGGATATCTCCCTTGGGATGATAGAGTTGAGACACATATTCAAAAATGAAGGTGATATAAAGATAAAATATTAAAAAAATACAAAATTTTAAAATAATGTATCATCAACACTGTGTAAATATATCATAAAAAGCTAGTGTTTTGTTAATTTAAAGAAATAAAATTTAATTTTTAAAAACCTAAAGTATATTGTAAGTTAGTTAAAAAGACATTCTAAGTCCTCAGAATGTCTACAATTCTTTCACTGGGAAAGAAAGTCAGGTAACCATCCACATACAGAATGCATGCACTACTACAAATGGCCATTAGAGGTCTCCCTTGGTATTCAGAGACATGACTTGTTTCAGAGCTTTCTGTCTGTCATCTTTGGTTAAGTAACTAAAATATAAGTGTAGGTGCTAATAGCTGAAAATCTGTTCCTAACAAACAGCAAAAAAGTTTGTGGAGGAAATATTTATTTCAAATGAATAATAATAGAACTTTAAAGTTTACAAATGAGTACTGTATCTTTTGAACTTTGTATTACAATAAAGTTAGGAAGTCAGGGAAAACCTGAATTCAAATCCTACCTCAGACACCTGGATAAATCACTCACTCTCTTTTAGCCTCAGTTTCATCATATGTAACCTCCCAGAGTTGTTATGAGGATCAAATGAGATCTCATATGTAAAACACTTAGCAAAAACCTTAAACCTCTATAGAAATGCTCTTATTAACTATTATAAAGGTCAGACATCAAGGAAAACTGAGAACTATGAAGCCTAAGTAACTTGTCCATTATTACACAAGTAATAAGCAGGCAGGGCAGGGAGACTGGGACTCAAGTCCAGCCTTTCTGGCTCTGTGAAGCTGCTTCATACTGGAGTAACAGGGACTTTTATGATTCAAGAATCAAATTAATTCAGTAAAACAAATATGTGCCAAGTAAATACTATGTGCAAGGCCCTGTGCTTTCAAGGGAATATTCACCAAACTGAATTAATTCAGGTGAATTTCCATGGAACAGACATCAGTAGTGAGCCAAGAACTGGCCATTTACTTCCCAGGAGTTCTTAACTGACTGGTAACACTACTGGAGGCAGCTTACAAGACCACATGGAAATCTCCCAAGGCAAAAAAGCACAGGATCCACACATGATAACAAGAATTAGGCCAAATAAATTACCCTTCCTTGAAAAATCATCAAGCAAAGAAAGCATTTTGTGTCTGAAGTGTTCTTAGCTTGGAGAAAAGGAGACTGTTGTTTGATCTCTAACTTCTAAACTATACGTTTTAAAAAAAAAACTGTTTCTGTAAGCTATCTCCAATATTTAGAGAATTTTAAGTTCTGAAAAATAATATTTTAATTGTGATATAAAGACAAAATGGCATTTCATTAAATATTAGCCAAACAGGACAATTTTGCTATTATGAGTAACAGAAAAATAAGATACCTGTAAGTAAACTTTTTTAACACCAGGCACAAAGTCTGCAATTCTGCCAAAGAGCAGTCGTCCGACTCCTGAAGTGATCCCAATGCACATTAGGACTACTTCTTTATTTGATTCTTCTGCAAATCTTTCTTTTATATGGTTCATCTATAGGTTTAAAAAAAGAGAAAAAAAACCAAACACCAGTTAATATACTCAGGAAATCCTCCATGGGTATGGCATTGCACATATTATTCGTTCACATTGTATGTTCAGAGTGTTATACTCACTCCTTCAAATTCAATTATTTCCACAGTGGCACAGTAGAGAGAAGGCAAAGCCTGGAGTTGGGAAAACCTGAGTTCAAATCTGACTTCAGACACTTCCTAGTTGTGTGACCCTAGGCAAGTCAATTAACGTCTATTTGCCTCAGTTTCCCTATCTGTAAAATGGAGCCAACCCAGGGTTGTTGTGAATATCAAATGAGATAATAATTGTAAGGTGCCTAGTATAGTGCCTGGCATAAAGTAAGTGCTATATAAATGTTAACTGTTATTACTCTGTATGGGTTTTTCCACAAACATACACATGAAAGATAACCTAACCTATACGATACCAAAAGTTGAAAGAAGCAGCAGCAAGCCTCAAGAATTCCCTCCCAAACTATGACTCAAGAAGATCTAACTCACTCTCAGTCTCACAGAACCTTAGAATTGGAAGGGACCTTAGGGATACCCTAGTCCAAGGTATGCTGGAATAAGAAGCTCTTCCATATTACACCTAATAAGCGGTCACCCAGCTTTTGCTTAAAAGCCCCCAGAGAGACTGTGTGTAGTGTCCCATGCCTAGAATTCCTGATACCAAGGAGGGTGAGATGGGGGAATCTCTTGAGCTTGGGAGTTTCCGAGCTGTACTGATCTATGCCAATCAGGTATTTGCACTAAGTCCAGAATTAATATGGTGGACCCTAAGGGCCACCAGGTTGCCTAAAAAGGGACAAACTGGTCCAGGCAGAACTTAAGCAGATCAAAGCTCTTATGCTAATTATTAGTGGGATAGGGCCATGAATAGCCACCACACTTCTAGCAAGGAAAGGGAAAAGAAAATTAAGGAACCCACTGTCTCCTGTGGCCACCCATTCTATTTTTGGATTCAGTGCAAGAATTTAAGTGCCTGCTATGTGCAATACACTATGCTAGGCTCTAGGGATTCAAGGGCAAAAATCAATCAATTCCTAGCTTACTAGAAAAAATTATTTAAAAGCTTTCCCTTAAATCATGCCTAAAATTATCCAACCATTGCTCATCATTCTGCCTACTAGGGCCACACAGAACAAATCTATTCCTTCTTCCAATATAACCCTTCAAATACTTGAAGACAATTATCATGCACCTCACTAAATCTCTTCTCTCTAAGCTAATTATTAATCAATAAACACTATTAAGTGCCTGTTAGGTGCCAGGCACTGTGCCAAACCCTGGGGATACAAAAAGAGGCAAAAGAGAATCCCTGCCCTCAAGGAACTTACATTGGAATGGGGTAGACAACATGCAAACAAATAGATACAAAGCAAACTAGATACAAGATAAGTAGGAAATAATTAACAGAAGGAAGGCACTGGAATTAAGAGGCATTAGAAAAGGCTTCCTGTAGAAAATGGGATTTTAGTTGAAACTTGAAGCCATGAAAGCCAACAGGTAGAGATGAAGAGGGAAAATGCTTCCACTGGAGACAGTCAGCGAGAATGCCCTGAGCCAAAATATGGAGCATCTTGTTCTTAGAACATCCAGTCCAGAGTCACTGGATTGAAGAATATGTGATAAGGGAGTAAGAACACTAGAAAGGTAGGGTGGGGTTAGGTTTTTTTGAATACCAAGCAATGGATTTTGTATTTAATCCTAGAGGCAATGGGAGTCACAGGAGTTTACTCAGTAGAGGAATGACATGTTTGGATCTGTAGTGGATGGATGGAGGATGGACTGGAGTGGGGAAAACCTTATGGCAGGCAGACTCATCAGCAGGCTATTGCAGTAGTCTAGGCATGAGGAGATAAGGCCTGCACCACAGTGTTGGTGGTATCAGAGAGAAAAAAGGAGGTAAATTCCAGAGATGCTTTAAAGGTGAAATCAGCAGACGTTGGCAGTTCCTTCCATCATTTCCCCCTGTAGTACAATCTCAAGCCTTTTCACCATTCTGGCTGCTTTCCTTTAGATGTTCTCCAGATTACCAATACCCAGAGCTGAACATAATAGACAGGAGGTATGACCACATGTTCAGGTGACCTGATGCTTGACTCTTTTTCCTCTCTTAGTGCAGTCTACTATTAGCTTTTTTGGCTGCCATGTCCCACTGTTGAGTCACTAAATCCACTAAGCTTTCAATCCACTAAAAACACGACATTGAATGGCTCTCCAGCAAGGCTTCTCCCATCTGGTATTTAATTTAAGGTTAAGACTTTCTATTTAACCCTACTGAATTACATCTTATTAGATTTAGCCATTTTAGCCATCCATCCTTCTTTTGTGTCATCTGCCAATTTTATAAGGATGCCTTTATCCAACTCATTAGTAGAAATATATCTCCTAGGTTAATGCTACAAAATTACAAAGCTCAAGTTTGGTCGCAAAGGAGAGAAGACACCCCTTTCCACCATTTTGCAGAGGTTGGGGCGGGGTGGGGGTGGTTCACAGGCATGGTACACTGCATATTGTCAAATTTTTTTCTATGTATTGGTTGGTTTTGCTGGGGGGGGGTTTCCTTTTCCTCTTTTTAAAAAAATTCTTTGTTATATGAGATGGCTGTATGGGAAAGGTGAAAGAAAGACTACAGGAGGAAATTTAGGATATATAGGGAAAAGATCAATTCAAAATAAAAGTGAAAAAAGTCTTAAACAAGAAGTAGCTCCTAACCATCTCTGAGACTCTACTTTTCCCCAATATAATTGTTAATGATGATGATGATAAGCTCACTTCCTAGGACCTCACAGAAACCTTGCTCGACTGTAACAGCATCTTGGGTACTTGGGCCTACTCTGTGAAGGACTAAAACACCCATGTATCCTGAAGTCAGTGAGCTGAATTCTAGGGTAGAAAGCTCCCTTCTCCCGTAATCTTCCTACCTGTGGGATTAATCATTTAATCTGTACTACTTTACATCTTTGGAATCCATTTCTTGGGTAGAATTAGAAAAAATGCCTTTCTGGTTGCTTGGATAAAGAAAAAAAAATAATTGTCTTTTATGGAACTAGAAATGCATGATCTAAGCCCTTCACAGACCTTGAAGTGTCACACAAATGTAAGTTATTACTATGCTTTGCTAGGTATTTTCCAAAACAATACAATCTTCTAAACTGCTCAACAAAAAGGAAATCATTTTGCAAACCTTTTATATAACATGGGTTTCTAAAACTTAATACCCTACTGAGTATTTCACTTGACAGAGTCAAAAACCTTTGGAAACCATCCTTAGTCTTAGTTAGGCCTAGATGGGTTGAATTAAATCAGGGTGTGATCTGGTACATTTTCCACCATTTGTATTAGGCATCAAGCCTTTAGCTAACTTTCCTGATCTTGTATTTAGGATTGTATTTGTATTTGGGATAGTAATTGTATACTATTAAAACAACAATTAAATTGTGTGAAAAATATTTCATTGTTTGTATCCACTATTCATTAACACTATGGAAAGGCTGTTCTTGGTCAGTAATTGCTAACCCAAAAGCACCCTCCAGTTTCCTGGTCATAGTAGTGAATAATATAATATTTGATATTTATACAGTGCTCTATGGATTTGGGAAGTACTTTAAATATATTATTTCATTTTATCCTTGCAATACCCCTAAATTCAAGGATTCTCATACCCATCATACAGATGAATAAGCCAAGGGAAGTTAAGTGACTTGCCCCAAGGTAATACAACTAATAAGTGAAAAGGTGATTTTTCTCAATTTCCTGCTTAATTACTACCATGATGCACCTTCACGACAACAATGATACGATAAGTGTTGACCTCTGATGAAAAAACTGGTCATCTTTTCTGAATTTATTTTCTACCTACAACTATTTTCTCCAAAACTAACAATGGTGCAGTACAATGCTGTGGAAATGTTGGCCATGGAAATAGACCTGGGTTTGAATCCTATCTCTGATACAAACTAACTGCTTGAGCTTCAATTTTCTTATTAGTAATGGGGGTACAACAATATTTAGACTGTCCACCACCATAGTTGTGCTTTATAAGCCTCAACAAACTACATAAATGTGAGATATTATTATTTTACTAGCTCTCAAACGACTAGCAACAAGGAAGATGTTTATATTCCTGCTTTCTGGCCCTAATCACTTCTGAAATCATTAAAGTATTGTGTGATTGTGTGATCACCAATAAACTGTTGTTTCAAACAATTAGACTCACTGTTTCACCACAGCAAGTCTTTGGCCTCATACTCTGGCTGTCCACAGAACATATTTCCCCTCTGGCTCAGTGACCTAGATGATTAAGAATGCCACGGTTCCATATGGCAGCAGAAGCAGCGCAGGATGATATCTCTTCTAGGTCCTGGAATTCTTCACCTCTTCATGACTGTCTTACTGTCCCCTCAGGCAACACATCTAAAACCAAACATAAAGCTTACCCCTCTCTCCTGATCTCCATATTTATGTTTCTAGTTGCCCATTGAACATCACCACCTGGTTTTCCTGCTGCTATTTTTGAGACATCTTTGTCTTCTTCCTGTCCTTCATCTCCAACTTCCACATCCAATCAGTCACTCTGCACACATGGTCTCATATTCTCTCTGTCTCTCTGTCTGTCTGTCTCTCTCTCTCTTCCTAACTCACCCAGGCTGGAAATGCACCAGCCACTCCTGGGCTTAATCCTAATACTGATATTATACCAAAGCTTTTACCGGCTCTACTTTTCTGACCTGGACTGGTTCACCCCTCCTTAGAAAGACTGGGGCCCCTCCACTCCTAGGGGCTCATTGTATTTGTGCCAAATTTAGTGCAGATACTTAAATGACTGCTTTAGCCCTACTGAAACTCAGAACTTCAGAACTCACTAGTTACAACCTCCCCCAGTAGTAGGGATTACAAGCATGCAGCAACACTACATCCACTCCAAAATCTTTTACATCTGTCTCTTTCCATTCCCAGTACTGGTGGCAGTGT